GAGACCATTTCACCTGTTTCCCTCATGGACTTCCAAAGGATATAAGCAATTCGTCTGAAGAGAGCCCTCAGAAACTAAACTAGACACAGCACAATACTTAGTTACAGTAATAACACAAGCCACGTAACTCCTACAAGCTCCAAGCAAGAGCCTACCTCTAGCTAAACCATCACAACCCAAAGCAATAAAATCCCTGCTTTCATTGGCATTATCTCCAGGTTTTGCAAAGGAATGGAGGGTGCCATTAGCAGGTCTTGATCTTCAACAGCTAAGCGAGCAACCGCAATGAACAACTGAACATCACATGCAGCACACAGGTCTGCAGAAATACCAAACATCTACCTACAAAAAAAACCTTGAGAATGAAGTCTCCAGATTTTCAAGGTAGTCCACACAAGACCATGCAAGCTATTATGGAGGAAAAGAAAAACAAAACAACGAACACCAAAATAGATTGTCATGCTGTGTGAGAAATAAGAAAATTTGTTATTGAGACAGGCTCTTGAGTTGGTCCACCAAACAGCACACAACAAAAAACACTGTGAGCTGAAGTCTGTGAGAGGCAAACAGCATGTCTCCTTGGGTGGAAAACCGTGCAGGAAAACCTGTAGTTCACCATGCACAAGTTCCTAACCAGAACTACCAAAGTTCCCAGAGGAAATTGGAGAAGTCTGGCATGTAAAAGTCAGTACGTTACAGTTGTAGGGCATAGCACATACAGTGCTCAGACCAATTTCAACTTTTATATGCTGTACAGTGCAGCTGGCACTGATCATGAACATAAAGCCAGAGGTATCCACTTATTTTCAAACTCATGTTTTTCATAGGTAAACTATAGGCGTTTGTTAATAACAGGGGGCAAGGAGAAGGGAAAGGATATCCAAGTTATTCACACTTTTGTTAGCTTAATCCACTCAATGCTATTTCTTTCATGACCACTTCTGTCGTTACCACTGGCACCTAACTACTGAGACAGGGTGTGGATGAAGTGGTAGCTAAAGCTGTAGCTACAGAAATACAATGAAAAGTCTGAGAGTCTCACAGGGGCTCCTGAATACAACCAGTCACAGAACAATGCCATGCAGCACAGCACTTGAGCCGTACTAGATTGAAGGTGTATTGGAGAGCCTTTTCCTTTCAGCCGTTCCTTTCAAAGGACTATATGTTACATCCATCTTAAAGGGCAAGGATTAACAGAACAATACTGGCACATGGCTGTTTTCTGCCTCTGGTAAAACAGTCTTCATAACATAAGGAAGAGAAAAATGACCACCTTCTCAACTTCAGTATAAGTCACTAACAACACATGTTAACGTTTTAGGCAATGTGCATGAAGGAAGAAGGAAATCACCAAGCTAGAAGACATTTAGACACAGTGAAATATAGCAGTATTCCACCAAAACACAAGACTAAATAAATGCAAAAGGACATACAGAATGCAGAGGTGGTTATTTTTTAATCCTGAACCAAATAAACTTTACGAAGTTATAGATTACCTGCTTTCTCTCAATTTTTGGATATATTCATACTTAGGTGTCAGTGAGCCATTGGATGCAATCACTGCCTAGAAACACATGAAACAAATTTTGAGGATTTTTTTACCTGTACATTTTAAAGCAGAGGAAAACAAGCAGAGTGTCAAATTGTAAAACTTACATCTCGAACAACAGGTGAGTAATTCTGCTTTTCAAGAGGTTCTGAGCCGTCTGATAACAGCTATGGAAATAAGTTATTACAAATTAGGTAATTTTATTTCCTGTAATTTTTTTTCAGAGTAAAACATCAATATTTTAAGCAACACTTAAATGCATGCCACAATACCAGCATCTTGTAGATCTGAAATTCGCCTGACCCTGACCAGTGTCATTCGACTTCTATGAAAACACAGAAATTCAAACAGCTGTCTGATTGTCAGTGATTGTTGAGTGCCCCAAGAAAATCACATTTAGACATCCACTGCAGGGTGCAGGAGCAATGAACTACCCACCAAAGCCTGTTTCCTGCCTACAGAAAGTGTTTGTGACAAAACCCTACGGCATCCAGGTTGCTAATGTCCCATTTTTTGAAAGTAGTGCCTCAAGACTTAGAAAGCTTTGTTACTTTTTTGGTTTTTTTTTTTGGAAGTACAAAGTCAGTTATGTTATACAGCAGATTCCTTTTGAATATATACAGGAGACCAGAAAAGCAGCAAACAAGTAGACCAAATACCAAGTCTTTTACCTTCCTATTGGATACATAGGACCTTACCATCTCTTCAATATATGGGAAAAGCATATCACCAAAGTACTCTGTTGCTTCTATAGGAAGCTGTGCTGGCAGATTGTCAATGGAACACATCAAAATCCCAGAGCCTTCAACGCTGAAAGAACAAACACAGCTCTTCTTAAACTACTTCAGAAGTGTTATAACTGTATGAGTTTTCAATATAATGCTTCACAGTACAAATTACAGAGGAAATCAATAACACTTAAAGGCTCTCCCACCTGTCATGAATAATGTGCTGGTCAGCGTCATACATACAGAACGGACTGTCAATTGTTGTACACTCTGTCATAAATTCTATAGATCCTCCAGTGTCTGCTGAAATGTCACATATTGCTATAAGTCTAAAGCAATTAAACAAAAAAGACAAAGGAATAGAGCATTATCCAATTTACTAGGAAACATAGGTATGGAAGATAACAACCGAACAGGAAATAAAAGACATGAGAGAAGATCTATCAGACCTGTACCTTCATTCATCCAAACTAACTCTGAAGTCAACACAACACAATGACATCCAGAAACGCAAGGGAAATCTGACCCTGCCAAAGTTGTAAGATTTCTATTCACTTCACAAGAATCCATATTTCACATCTAACTCCTTAAAGACCAAGGGAATCCACTCATCCATTCCTCAGTACTCCATGTGCTGTCAACACTTCCCATTCATTGTCCATTTACCAGTTCCCCGAGTTGTCACTGGGCATTCCTGCACTAGAATAACTTCACCATCATCAAGGGAAACCTAAAGAAGTAGCTGTTTCCTTTCAGTTCACAGATAACTGGCAGAGGTGGAACATTTATTAGACTAACTCTGAACCTCTGACTCCACTGAAGGTTAACACTTAAGTTCTTTATTTGTCATGTGAGAGAAAGAAAAGTGTCAAGAATGGGCAGAGAAGAGACGAAGACCTGGTTCCTCACCAGGATACCTTGCCATATCCTCCCTAAATCCATCGCCAGGCCAGTCTCCCACAGAACTATTACTTGAAGATATAGAGAAAGGGTGGCTCCCACACATACTAAAAGGAGACCAACTCTGGGTTTGCACCCCACGTTCCATCCTTAAAGCTATTCAGGGCTCTGAAGCATTTCTGCTACCTGCTGCGGAAACCAGAGGTGCTAAGGAACAGTTACTGAACTTGTACAAGCCAAATGACAGGGTAGGAAGAACTTAACCAACAAACTGTGCTCAGGCATAGAAACCTCTAGCAATAATGGTAAACCAGGTACATTTCCCAGATGTCACACTGTTTGTATTGGATTCTGCACAAGGATCAGTGGAAAAACTACCCTCAAAGAAAGACAGGTGATACCTACCAATACTGTGATATTCTCAAAAATTCCAAACTGTGAAAACAAGACTGCAAAGCACAGAAGAACAAAAGCAGAATCGATGGGGCACTGTGCACCATGCAAGAGGAACAATGAGAGAAACAGAATTTGCTAGGTACTGTGGTGAAACTGCCTAACTTTACGGGTTAATCATGGTGCTGCAGGATCATCATGAGTGGACTGAGGTGTCTTACTTGTGTGGTAACTCAGGGCAGCCCTCTGTTGCACCAGCAGCAGATCTAACTGGCACCAGCAGATTCTGAGCATCCTGTCGACTTAACAAGCGAGGAGTGTTCTGTTCCCAGTATATGCCATTAATTAAGCAAGTTGTGTAGGGTGCAATCTGCAAAGAAAGTTACAGATGTTCTCATCTAGTACTTTAAGATGTTGAAAGCACTTGGACTAGTGTTTTAAATTAACGTTCTCTCAATCGATGGATATGCAAAGGTGTAGTAACTATCCATACTCCCTAGAAAACCTTCCATAAGAGAAGAGAAGGGATGCTCACATCAGTGTTAAAACGAGAAGTGTAAAGTTCTGGATGTTTATCATAGTCTACTGGATCATACAGTCCATCACGTTTCCTTACAAGATGATGGTGACGACTTAGCACAGTTCCATACACTTTTCTGAGGTCTGAGGTAAAAAAAAAAAAAAAGCAAGATGTTACACTGGGACAAAAAAAAAGAGTTTTAGTGTTTTCAATCAGTTTGTTGTCACAGCATACCTCCAGATCTAGAAACTTCCTTTAGCTCATGTGGTTCCACAAACTCACATGGGAGGGCATTGAACATTTCTTGAGCACCCTGTGAACCACGAAGCAGGTTTCAGAATGAGCAGAGAATACAAAGGTAGTATAACACTGCTTGTTTGGCATGTGAACACAAATACAAAAATGCCACACACAACTTGACAGTTCTTCCAGAGAACACCTTCAGAGCTACACAAACTGTTTCACATCAGTGCTCATCCAAAACAAAACTGCCTGGGCTCTTTGTACAAGGAATTCACATCACTCCCCATTCCTGCAGTATGCCTGACCCACAGTCCAGTGCCTGGTTTATGTTTCTCATTGCAGAGCTGGGAGGGCTCAACCCAGCCACAACAGATGGTTTTGCTGCCACTCTGAGGAGCAGTTTCTCTTTAAGGAAGACCCCTGCAAACCACTCTTCACTGACCAGGCTGTTCTAAATGCAAAGAACTTCAAGATGACTTTCACAACAACCCATGATAATACAACATAGGCCTCTCAGACATACCACCCTCTTGTCCAGAAAGCACACATTTATATGGGCAGTGATTTCACTTTATAGTTGGAGCTTGGTTAACTGATCTTTGTTGCCAAAACTAGGAGTAAACCTTTTCCCCTATGTCATAGAAAACATCTCTGAAGTGCAGCACTTGTAAGCCAAGGCAATGCTGTAATAAAAATAAACTCAGCAAGTACTAGAAAAAATAATAATTTCCCCTATACGTTAATGGGGTGATTCCACATACCTTGTGAGCCCAGAGACAACAGAGGGGAAAGAGGGAGACAAATATCATACAGGTGGGAAAGGAGAGAGGAGCAATAAAACAATCCATTTCTCATGATAAGAAGTTACCACAGTCAGCCTTGTCAGGCGTGATCTTATCTTAAAGTTTAGGGTACTTAAAAATCTTTACTGGCAAAGGAAAACCTAAAGTTCAAGCAAACAAAATTAACCCATCAACCCATTTAACCCAATATGTATCAAATGGCAAGTTGTATTCAAAGTAATATAGCATTTCATCTTGAAGACAGAGTTCTTACCTTAGAAACATTACCAGTGCCTGTAAACACAAATGTTAAGGGCCCAACTGACTTTGGCATCAATCCCAGTGAAATTTCATACCCGGCATCCCGTACTGCCTGCACAGCCTGACTGCTATTCCTGTAGTTATGTGCCATCCCAATGTGCTGAAATCAAAGGCACAAAACCATCAAGATATTTTATCAAATGTATTTATCTGAATTTATCAAATGCAGATAATTATCAGATGCCTAAAAGTCATTTTGCTAAAGAAAAATAAATGTGTCTTACCATGAAGGGAGTGTGATGTCCCAGGGCTAAAAATCGTAATCCCAATCCATGTAGAATGTTGATCATTCCTAGTGTTAAAAAAAAAGTAAAATCAGACCATCAATATTAATAATGAATGTGCACAGTTAGAAACTGTAGAGACTGACTGAAGTCTAAAATTATCCCGGATGGTTTTGCCTGTCTTTTAGTATTAATACCTTACTTCTAAACAAAGTTCAGATAAAACCAGGGAAGATGAAATTCAACAGTGGGCCATGACCTCAAACCTGCTCTGGGCCCACATTGTGCATTTCAGCACTACTTGATACTTGGATATCCTTTTATGAGATGCATCCATATCACCAGATTCCAGAGAAGGAGATGATAAAGAGTCTCCTGAAGAAACAAAGCTGAAGTTCAGTAGAAAGAAATGAGAACCATGCTGCACAAAAAGCAGTGTAAACGGATAACAGAGTGACAAACAGACGTTGCTCAAACTCATAGGCAGCCATTTCTTTCAACAGCCTATTCAGTTGATCTCTTGATATTTAGCCTGCCTCAGATTAGTTGAACAGACAAACAGGAGGGACTTCAAGACAACATAAAGTAGTACATTTGCCAGGAATCCACAGGACTATTTGACATGTAGTCTCATCAGAAGTAGGGAGCACAAAACAGAATGGAAAAAAGCTCTTAAAAGCAAGAGTTAAAAACGCAGTTAAAAACACATTGCAAAGCCTCAACCTTCAGGAAATGTAGACAACCAGAAGTATCACAAGAAGTTACTTGTTGCAAGCCTGCCTTTACTTGATGCACTATACCTGCTACACCAGCCCACTTTCCAAAGGCCACAACTCGCATTCCTTTATGATCAACCATTTTTTCATAGTCAAACAGTCGAATTTCCTGAAAATACATAGCAAATTGAGTATTAAAATTTTCAGTGAATGCAGTCAGTGGCACGTTGGTCTCCTAGGAATTACCTTTTCATATGCCTTAGTCATCCTTCGTGATAGAGGCTGATGGGTGTATGAGACAGGCAAACAATTCATAACAAGACTTAGGTATAAAAATAAAACCCTGAAGGTCGCACTGAATTCTTGTTCTAGAGTCTCTGCACTACCTGTCCACTCTTGGCACAGAGCTCCTCAATGGGCTACTCCAGCTGCTGCAGACCCATTAAAGGTCCCTCTTGCCAAGAGGCTGCTCATTTCTGAGTGAACTGGCTGCCTGCAGCTGTAATGACCAAGACAAGCTCTAGCTCAGAAACTTCCAGACAGCCCTTCATGCTCACACAGCGTGAACCTCTCTGGAGCACACCACGCTCCCAACTCACTTGCTTCGGGCACAGGAACAGAGTAGCACTGCAAGCACAAGGTCATCTGAGCAAGAAATACTCTACTCCAGGAAAGGATACTAAAGCAAGTCCTCATTAGCTATCTACAAACACGCAAGCTGCAAGTAACTGTAACAGGCAGCGAGCCTTCAATCGCACTGCAGCATTCGGTTCAGTTTCCATCCCACACCAACAGCCAACTGCCTTGGCTATGACACTATTTACCTGTCTTAGAATCTCATCCAAAAGGGGCATGTTTGCTTCTTGGGCTTTAATAGTGTGAGAGAAGAAGGCATAGCTCTTTTTAGGGATTAATTTGTCCTCCGGAGGTCTCTTCACGCCTATTATCAGAGAAGCCTCAGAAATATCTTCCTGAATAATGCCACCTGCTTTGACGTAATCCTACGAAAAAGGAGAATCAAAGTAAATATTTCTGGGTTTTTTTCATATTCAAATCTCAGCATATAAGCAACTGGAGGAGAGGACAAATGGATAATCCTACAAAGCAGAAACAAGTTATTGCATTGATACTTTCATAAACTTCTTTATCAAAAGGGGTATCAAACATCAAACTGAATTTCCATGCTAGCATCCTATCATAAAAGGCCAAAGCATAATTATGTGTTAGTAAAATGCTTCACCTTAAATTCAGACTACATAAAGGGTATTTTATTAAAGTATGTTATAGTATTGCAGTAATGATTAGTCCTTTGCAATGCATTGAAATACTGGGAAATAAGTTTAGAGAAATGTGACTAATCTGAAGACTGATGACATGTGATTTTATAAAACTGTATAAGACTAAGTCCAAGCTGAAGACCAACTTCTAAAAGAATGCCTTTCCATATCAAAATGTATTTTTGTTCTCCCTTATTTCAAAAACATATCAGAATTCCAGCTTTCACTATCATAGGCGTGTACTTCATGTGATCTGTGCTTTGGTGAAAACCAGGACTGTGCATTAATTAAAAGGTGATATCTCCAAGTGATCACTAATTCCTTACTTATGTTTTAATTTTTATCTCTTGGCTCAGATACCTTACAGCAGAGTATTACTGCTGCTATAAGAACTGTAAAAGCTCCTGAAACTCACAGCAGTAAAAAGAAAAAAACCCTCTCCACCCATTTTACATGAGGAATGGGACTGAAGCAGAAACAGGATTCACTAGATTTGTCCTTCCTCTTCTTTTTTTTTAAATATACTTATTTTTCAGTGTTGCCTCCACACAGACAGTAGACAAAGCCACCAATGTTAAAGGAATTCCCAAGTTTATACTTCAAGAGCACCTAAAGCTTCTTCAGAGACAGATGAAAGGGCAAGAAATCAATTAGAACAACTCCAAAAACTCACCAGTGCACTCACCTTACATTAAAAGGCTGAACAAAGTACTTTTTCCCTCTCCACTAGGACACAATTCCTCATTTTACTACAAAATTAGTAACATGCTTTTTCACTTACATCCTTTGAATATGACATGGTTAACAACTGAACTATGGTTTTGCCTATCGAACTCAAAATGGGACCTTACCTTCTCATGGATGGCTCTGCGGTTTGAGGGCTGCACCAAGACCTTGTACCCCATCTGCGTCAGTTCCTTGACGTGCTTTGGTGCCAGAGGTGCTCTCCTCTCCCAGGCATTAACATCTTCTCTCCTGATGGCCAGCACAGACTTACGATGATGCCAGCACTTAGTGTGATGGAGCACACACCTACCGTTTGTGTGACTAAAGGCTCGGAGCATGGTCAAGCCTGATGGCAGCAAAGACAAAGCAGTAAAATAACACAGGTATATGTATATGTATACTTCAAACACTGTGTCTGCCAAAGTTTTGGTCTCCTTTAACATCTGCTGTAAAACACAAACCAGATACTTTATACTCCAGTTACACAGTACTTTGGTGAGATGTGAATTTACTTTCAGTGTACTTTGTTGCACCTCAGTTTGGTGGGGTGATGTTACATAAATAAATTGTTTGTACTAAAAGAAAGAAAGGTTTTTAATGTGTTCAATGTACCATATTCTTAATTACATGGCTTAAAAAGAATGTTGGAAACTCAAAGATATCAAATTCATTTGCCAGCATAAACACGCAAAGACCAAGCACTTATCAAGCTCACATCAAGAACAATAAAAAGTAACAAACACACAGAAAGAAAGGAGAACACAAGCTATAATGCAAGAAGTTGATTCATAGAGAAAGCCCAATACATAAGACCAAATCTAAGTATTTTTACATAACGAATTCTTACACAGGTGGAAAATGGAACATAAGGGCAAGATCCTAACTACTGCTTAGCAGACAGCATATGTGTGGTCAGGAGCAAGAGGTTTTGTTCCTAATCAAAATTTTATGCAAAGTAGAAAAACTTCATTAGGACAGATTCCACTGCAGAGGATCATCCCTTCTCACTCCCAGTGAAGCATATATGCCACTGCTTAGCTCTGCTGGGAATGGCAAGGGCTCTGCACAAGTCCAGCACCAAACACCCGGGAGCCTCCGGACTTCAGATGTAACTTCAGATGTGACTATAAGGCGTGGATCTCAAAGACAGAGGCTTCAAAGATGTGAAATTTGCTTCCGAAACAATTTTAACTGACTATTACATGAATCCCTGTATCTGAACCATTTGGAACATCCTATTTGTCCTCATAGCTCAAACCTGTAAAATCTCTAATTCCCTAAAGCCTTAAGAGGTCCTGTTTAATTCCAGGCTTTCTTAGACATAAAAACTAGCACATGAAGGAAGTCGTGAGCAGAAGCACATGGTCCTCTATGCTAGCTCCAAACATGATCTTCCTACCAACACTAGATTTGTCCACCAGCAGAAGTGACTGTACAGAAAGCATGTATTACCTCTCAAAACCAGAGGAAGTCTTGTCACACAATGTCACTGTTACTGTACACCAAAATACAACAAGGAGAGCACCTCATACCGAAGCACTGCACCTCATAACCAAGCTGCCGTGAAGCAAATTCCCCTCACACATACAATTCCTACAAGAAAAATGCTGCTTCCCGGAGGCAGTGAGCTGCCTTGCACTTCCAGCGGGTGAGGGGGAATCAGGGCAGTAAGCAAACACTCCGTGTGACCTCTAGCAGGCCAGAGGTTCACACACATGCCTCCCTGTGTATGCTCAGGCTTAGCCACAGCGATACCGACATCCCGCTGGAAAGGTGAAAGCGGTAACCTCAGCACTCGAGGCGTGCAGCGCTGCTGAGCCCCCCCGGCTGAGCGAGGGAGCCGAAGGGCCCCGCTCCCTCACCACCCGCGCTGCGGGGCTGGTCACACCACTTCCAGCTTCAACGACACCAAAACAGGGCCGAGCAGGAACAGCAAAGGCGGCAAAAATAACAGCAACGCCTCTGATTAGAGCTCGCCGTTTTACGATCCTGTTTCTAGAGTGAGCAGAACGCACTTACGCGGACAACCTGTGCCCACGCTCACTACTTGAGACCCGGCGCAGCGGAAGCGCCCGGGGATGCCGGCGCGTTTTCCCCCGAGCCCGCGGCCGCGGGTC